TCTGAAGATACCATGGTCTGGCTTTTAAACTCTTGTTTCTCTGGGTGAACGCAGTTCTGGCCATACTTTGTGTCCTTTCCCTGCTCTGTATTTGTTTGCTGAGGTTGAAGGAGGCACCGCAGGGCAGAACACCGCTGCGCACCTTCACCAGAAGGATGCGCTCCCCCTCATCTCATGGCGAGCATTTCCCCTAATAGCTCCCATTTTTGCTATAAAATTTCAGTATTTCTAATCAGCTGGAGCAGATGTAGCCGTCGGCAGTGGTGTGACATGCTGTTCTGGGTTTTCAGTTATTGATGACTTATTGCACTGCAGTACCTGTGTGACCTCACCTGGTGTCCTGGCTTCGGTGCTGAGTTTGGTGGGAGCTGTAATTACTACTCATGGTCCACGTTTTAGTTTCAGACTTTGTGCACAGGCGTTACCTCCAGCATCACACTGCCCTACTGAAAAATGGATGAATATCAAGGCAGTGAGTGCCATCTAATGAATATTCCTTTTCTTTAGTGCCTGTTTCCCCCAAAGGTCTCAGAGTTGTAGTGCTACTAAAATCTAACTCTACTTTCTCAAAATACCACATGTGACAAATTGAGTGTGCTTATAGATATTTTCTGGACTACCAAATCTTCAATCATAAGTTCAGTTTACTGTGAATGTAGTTATTTTGCAGTGAAGTTTTATGGACTTAAATATCATTGGTGCTGCAGGGGAGGTCGTACTGCTGCGAGGTCTTAGGTCCACCCAAGGCGGCGAGTCCTTCAGGGGTCTCGGTGCTGACCGCACTTCTGCGAGACCGACGGTAGTTTCCAGTACAATTAGGTGCTGCTCTGAACTCCCCTTGCACTGTGAACTTGAGAATTGAAGGGTTCAGTCCCTCTGTAGATACTGCGTGGTCTCCCAAGGAATGGCAAAATATGTTTTTAGTTAAGTTGCTTGAGAATTTAATTGAAAGGTTTTGGACAGTTTCATAAAAGGTAAATCGTAATTGTGGTACAGAGAAGATTTATAAAGGAAAAATACTTTAGCACCTTTATTTCTATGCCTTGCTTGATATAAATGGAGATCTATCAGTTTGTTATTTTATCTGCCAGTTTAAAAAAAAAATCTTTTTCTATTTTACAGCTCTTCAGTTTTTTGGAATACAATGATAGGAAAGACATAGGTCAGATTATCCCATGTGCACATCACAGCTCTGGATCTGCAAACATGCTCAACTTCTTTCCCGTGAATATTAGTATGAATTAAGCACATGCTTAACTTAATACACATAAGTAGTTCCACAGAAGTCAGGAGGACTTCTAAGAGATTCAAATTAAGCACAAGCTTAGTGGCACTGCAGTTTGGCTGGTCTCCAAGGCAGTGGTGCTACTGCATGTGCGATGGCTCTGGCTTATGGAGGAAGGTCATTTGTAACCCACAAAAATACTTGGGGATATTTGGCGAGGACAGCTAGGGCAGTCACTTTAGAAATGTGACCTTCAACTCATGTTTTTTTTGATAATTTGTGCCGTGTATTTGTTGAAGGGTACTGTATATATTGGGTATCATATTGCTGATGGGGCTAGATAAGGATACTATAACAGCAGTTTAAATGTGTTTTTTGTGAGATGGTAAGCTAATGATGTAGCTGTTAATTTGAATTTAGCAGACGTTTTAAATATAGGTTTCTCTTACAGAGACAAAAGTTGCAATTTAAAGCTCTTTGGTGGTCTAAAAACAGCTTAATTCTCTAGTAGCATGGTAATAAGTACTAATCCAGCTTATACAGTGATTGTAGTATGTCATGTTTGTGAAAGATTGCCTAACTCTGCTTTCTCTGGGTTTTATGTTAATTTTTTTAAATTAAACATAAAACCTTATAACATCTTTATGCTGAGATAAACTGTTCAATTTAACTTGTGCTCAAGCAGCAGCTGTCAGGAATTATCATGTTTCGAGCGTTCTTGCTATCACCTTGTGTCTTTACCTCCCGGATACACTCGGTGGGATGATAAAGCTCACCTTGTTAGGATTTATTACTTAAATAATAACCTGAGGTAAAATGAAAGTTGATGTCACATAGAATGACAACTGACATATATTTATGTCGCACGTTGCATTATAATAAACTTCCCTTTCTTCCCCTTGTAATAGGTGTTAAGTGGCAATACACTCGGGCATATCCTCCAGTGCCCTGCGTGAGTCCATTAGCCACGTACATGGCTTCTCTGTGGGCATGTTCGCAATGACTGGTACTGTCAGGTGTTATTTAAGCTCGTGAGGCCTAAGAAATTGGTTATTGCTAGGAGTTAACAGCTTTTATGCCAGTCAAGAGACAAAGATATTTAAGTGCATCTAATATTCGTTGGATTAAACTGTAGAAGTACTGTGAAGTAATGCAAGAGAATCGGGAAGGGTGTTTTGCAATGCTGCGACCAGTTTAACTTTTTCTTTTTGCAATGCGAAACATAAGCAATGTCATTTGAGGTTCTAAATCTGAATTTGCTAGTAATTATAACAATTTTCTCTTGACACTGGTTTATTTATGAGCTGGGCAGCGATAAGTGATCGACTTGTTAATTGAGTCTTATCGCTCCCCACTTCCAATGTAGAAAATTCAGGTCTATCTCTTCCCGGCTTTCCTAGTTCGTGTCCTTGCTTGCCTTATTAGAAGGCAGTCTCTAGCTCTCTCTAACGATGAGGATATGTTCCTCCAGCTTCCCACAACCAGTACTGCAAAAATTATTTTCCTTTCCTGTGGATATAACCGTCTTTTTTCATATTCCTCTACTAGTTACTGCTTTGTCCATCAGAGTGAGTTCAGATATTTCAGAACTGTACAGTTCTGTCCGAGCTTGAATCTCGGATCTCATTTCTCGTCGTGCTCCCCGTTGCCCTTTTCTCTCCGGCAGTAATGTTAACCTTGACACCCCCACTGTGTTCTCTTTCCACTCTTGCTTTTGTGTCTCGCTTCGTGCTGCTTCCCCATGTTTTCAATCCCAATGTGCCATATATTTTTTTCTTTCTTCATTCAAATGCAACCAAGTTTATAGACACTATCCCACATGAATTCAATTTGCTACATAGCTCATCACAGAAAAAGAAAAGTTGTCTAAAAATAAATTTAATGGAGGAAAAAAAAGGAAAGAATAAACTGTGACACAATCCAGAAGTATCCTGAATTTACCCAAGTAACCATTTAATCTTAGTGTTGTTGTATTTGACGTTCTGTTTCTCTCATTTGTATTTTTCTCTTCCTCGTTCTCTTGTTTCTAAACTTCTCTGAGCAAGGGTATTATATTGTCTAAAGGGAGCTTTTCTGCCTCTTGTTTGACTCTGGCATCCAGGTCATTGTGGAGCCCAGAGGTTATTGCTCCTCATGACAAATATGTGATGATATTCATAAATATATGGTCTCTGTATGGCTGATAACGAACCAGTGCTCATGTCTTAATTGGCTTTCTATCTGACAGTCCCTTTAGAAGAGCAAATATCTGATGAGCAAGGGAGTAACATTCATATCTTACTTTTGTTAGCCTTTCAGAAGATTAGCGTTGACTCAGGTAGATGAAGATAGATGTAGGATTGGTTCTCTAGGAGGTGCTTGTTCTGAGATACAGATTATCCAAAAATGTTGTAATAACCATAAATATGTTTATTATAGTTACTATTATTTGTTGTAAATAACCGTTTATATGGTTATTTTGGGCAACAGGCAAGTTTTAAGGTTGACAACCAGAATCAGTTTATAATATCAGTGATGTCAGTTTGATGGTATTCTTGAATGCAAAAACTGTATAAAACCAGGAACAATTGAAAAGATTTTAAGAGAAATAAACCTTTCATGCATCATATTCTGAATCTGTACTATTAAAATGGTGGATAGCAAAAAAAAAAAAAAAAAGAAAGAAAGAAAAAGAAAAAAAGGAACATGCTACGCCGAAAAGTAATTTATTGAGGCTTAATGTTTTATGTGCAATAAATACGCATTCTCAATATTTTTATCCCTCGTGCTGAGAAATTTATAACACAAATTGTCTGTCTACAGCTCTGCTGTTCTCCGCAGGTTCAGAATGAAAGCGGTGCTAGCCAGAGGACAGCAGATAGTTGCATAGTTTTGGTGAAATGCTGGGATATTTGCCACTGGTTGCAGTCGGGTCAAGATTTCGTGTCACACATTTAAGTACGTTCATTGTCTGGTGGTCGAGTAAATTAAATAAGGTTAAGATAGCGGCTTGTTAGCGTGGTTTGTGCCCACTTTATCTAACTGAAGGGTGTGTGCAATGCTGTGGAATAGCAGGAGTGGTATGGCGTACTGGGGTACGGAGACACAAACGACCTTTTGTTGTATAGGATACCTAATAAAAATGAGAAAATAAAACATAGAAAAACAAAAAGGGAAAAAAAAAAAAGACCATACTGGATAAGTGTACTGCATAAATCAAAAGGGTTTATGTCATAACATGAACATGTGCCATTCGTGCTCATATATTGAATTTCAGTAGTTGGTTGCATAAAGAAGTAAAGTGTAATGAAACTGGCAAGCCAAGTATTCCCTAGTCAGCCTTATCTTTGTTCCATTTGTCCTTCAGATACAGCTTTTCTTGCCTTTTTCAATAAAATCCATCCAGCTTTTTTATTTTGCATCTCTCTGTAACTGAGCTGAGCAGACCAATGAGATTCGGCGCTTTTCTAGTCGAGTTCTTAGCAGCTGCGTTTTAAGAGATCAAAACTTAGAGCGCTGCTACATGGTATTAAGGCTCAGCTATTGATGTGTCCCTATAGGGGTTATGTTGTTCTTGTGGGGGGAGCTGGGGAGGAGAAGGGCGAAGGGTGGCCCTCCTGCGCATGCTCGCGGCCGGTGAACACTGCTCTCCTTGTTTCCTAGGGTCCTCTTTGCAAGCTCCGTGCTTAACCTGGCTGAACTCGTGGCCCTGCGGCCTGACCTTGGCAAATTGAGAAAGGTCCTCTACTTCCATGAGAACCAATTGGCCTATCCCGTCCAGAAGTGCCAGGAAAGAGATTTTCAATACGGATACAACCAGATTCTCTCTTGGTAGGTGTTTCTCACACCTCTGCGTGGCGTTTAAGGTATTCTTTCACGTACAAACTTCCAGCATCGTGCGCCAGAGGAGTCCTTCTCTATTGAACTGATGGCACCGGAGCAAACGGGCACAAACAGCCCCAAGCAGATGCAGATAAAAGTGCTTTGGCATAAGCAGGCAGAGACAATCCGCTTGAACAATAAATCGGGAGGAGTACATAAAGTCCGCTTGCACTACATTTGGACTGCCGTAGCATACCTGTTAGCTGTGTAAATTTTGACCTATGCCTGAGCCATAATGAGCGAGACGCTTGGTCTCACATCCATGTAGCAGAGCTGCAGCTAATCAGCTGTTGCTTAGCCATGGCTTTTACTGCATCCAACTGAAATTATATAGAGGTTTTTAGGGAAATAAACAGAAATTAAAATGTACTGCAGCACTTTTCTTGAGAAGAGAGGGCAGTAAACATACCAGATAAATCCTTATATTTCTTTCATCTGGTATTCAGAAATTGTGCAGTGCTAAAATACCCAGACATTTTAAAGGCTGTGTCCTTTATTGTTACTAAAAACAAATGCATTTCTTGAATCTAAGTTAATGAAAGAAGTTAATAACAGCACAGAAAAGCTTTGTGGTTAGGCGCTGTGCAAACCTCAGTGAAACAGCAAAACTGAGTAGTTTTGAATTGAAATAAATTCATTTGTGTGATGTTTCTCACCTATCTGTTGTTAGAATTATTAGGAATATGGATTGTGTCTTTTTAAGTATCTGTTAAGCTTTTGCATCTTTATAATGTAAGCCAGTTGATATTCAAATTTCTGAAATAATCATCTTTGTGTACTCTGTAGCTGCTCTGTTCTGTAGCTGCTTTTGCCACTGCATTTGCAAGATGTTTCAGTCACTAAGTAGCAATGATGTGAAATTGTAATGAAATATCTTTTGAAAATAGTAGCAGCCATCTTCAGATTTTCTGACGTAAACAAAAGTGCTCTTTGGTACTCAGGCAAGGAATATTTTTGTATATATATTTTATTTTCCTATGGCAGTTATATTTTTGGTACATGGGTTTCTCTCTTGTGAGCTGACATTAATCCTCAAAATATGCATTTTTAAATGAAAAATTATTTTCTTTTGCCTCGAAGAAATAGACCTCTGTAGATATTTGGTCCTTCAGCCTCCAATAGCTTCTCTATGTAATTATATAATATTAATCTTTCATTTTTGTTGCTGCAGAAATCACTTTTTTAATAGCAAAAAGAAGACATCTCCTCTATATTACTCCTAACTACCTAGTGGACATTTGCAGAGACAATGAAACAAACTGCCTACTTTTTTTCCTTTAGAGTTTATGAAGATTTTCTGAACGTTTTAGTGTTTCAGGGTTTCTTTCTGAATCTTTCCATCTTCTAAATCTGTTAGAAATACTAGAAATATGAAAACGTATCGTTGCAGTTTTGCTTAGAGGTTTTGGAGCTAATTGAAAGAGGAGCGCTTTGAATCTTCAGGTTGGTGTTTTGAATCATTAAGAAAGAGAAATTTGCTTCTTAATGACTCTAAAGGGTTTGTGTCGTACCGGTAAGAAACTCGCACTTTTAGCAATGACTGAAATTCCTTTCCTCCTAACTGCTCAGGCAGGTATGATGGCAAGATCTTTCTGGTACACCAGTGAAATGCAGAGCCTCCAGGAAAAAGTTAGAAAGATGAGAATTAATGTACAAGACAAGCAGAGATGCAAATATTTGGAGCCTTTGCTAAATGTCAAAGAGCAGCAAAAAAAAAGAGTGAGGCTCCTGCTGTGTTTTGTGTCACGTGTAAGTCAATTCGGAAACAGTGACTGGCTCATTGGTGGAGATTTGAGGGAAGTGCAGGGTTAAAAATCATAGGTGGGGAAGAGTGTGGGATTTCAGAAAACATGTCAACTCCCGTAGCCTAGTTGAAAAGGATTATTTCTCTCTCTAATGTTTTTTTTGCCTTTCCTGCTGACTCCTGCTGCTTTTGTGAGCACTGTCAGTTTTCTCTCTTGACCAGAGAGCGGTGAGATGCAGTGAGGATGAATGACAGGCTCTCACCTCAAATACACTTTTCACCAGCCCAGTGACTTATGAACACATGTCCTCAATGTATCTTATGACCCATAGGTCTGTATTACAATATATAACATATTGAGAAAACCAACTAGCCATAAAACATTTCTTACCTCTGTTGGAGTATTGCATGTTTGCCACTATAGCTAAGGTTACGTCAGCACTTCCTGGATAAACTTCCAGATATTTCAGTTTTTGATAGCTTTTCATTCCTCCAGATTGAGAACCTCAGCGGAGAAATAATACCTAAATGATCATTTAACCACATCTTAACATTACTGATCTTGTTGATTTTAAAATCTAAGGAACAAAACATTGTGTTAATATACCAAATGGTCTTTCAAATTTTTTTTTGATACTGTATGCTATGTGTTATGTATTTTATGATTAGTAAATGTACTCTTAATTGGGATGACGTATGCATAGATTAAAAAAAAAAAGTAAAAACATTCAATTTCTGTAATATTCTGTAATACCTGATGCACTCGGTCAATCTTTTTTTTTTCTATTCTTTTTTCCTAGCAGTAAGTTTCATTAATCTTAACCACTTTTTACAGTTTGGTTGCTGATGTTGTTGTGTTCAACTCTGCTTTTAATATGGAATCATTTCTTACGTCTATTGGAAAATTTATGAAGCTGATTCCTGACCACAGACCTAAGGATCTGGAAAAAATAATCAGACCAAAGTGCCAAGTTCTTTACTTTCCAGTCAAGTTACCTGATGTGAGCAGGTCAGTACGTTTTTCCATCTCATAAGTTGTCTCCAGTCTATTAACATTACCTGTTCGTTGTGAAGTTTTAGTCATTCAGTTAAAGCATTGTTAATTAAAGACCTTGATAACATGCAAAAATAAGCGATTGATAAATTGATTTCTATAATCACAGGCTGTTCAGGCAGATTGTGATTCACCCGCACTGGAATGAGTAGTTTTGCCAAGCCTGTCCTTAGTCAGTTCATGTCATACAAAATTATATAGTTCGGTGAGAATAATTTCCTAGCTTGTTTTAGTTTTTAAAATGTTGACTGTTCCTCAGCCCTGTGTATTTATTTGTACAGAGGAGGTCAAGGAGGAAAAAGAGATTCTAGAGAATAGTAGAAGTGATAAGTCTGTAGTCAAGAAGCTATATTTCCCTTGGTATGTTGTAGTGGGATTTTATTCCCTCCTCCCTCCACACCACCTCTTGTTTTATTGCCTTGCAGGTAGGTGAAAAGCATTTCAGTAGCGTAGAGCAAACTTGCATATTTTGGCATTAGCTACAGTTGCAGTTGCTCATCAGTCTTCCTCAGTTACTCTGAAGGATGTTTTTTATTGCCCTTGTTTCAGAGCCCATCTTGAAATTAGCAGTGGGTTATGTGGCTCAAAGGGAACATTCACTAGATCCTTTTCACTTTTGATTAAACCTGGCACAATTGTTTTTTTCTGTTATAAGGAACTCTCCTCCCACTGAACAGGAACTTTGCTTCAGTGGGACCAATACTAAATAGAGATAGTATGATCCTGCAATTTGATTAGACTCTTAAAAACAACATGATGCCTGGTGCATTTTTTGCTGAAATAAGGGTAGAAAGCAGTGTAATGATTCTGCAGGAGTCTGGCTTTTGATATGACAGTAAGTTTTGGTCCCTGACCTGCCTGTACTTGCAGTTTATTTCAAAGACGTTCGTACATAGTAGTAGTTTTGGGCAGAGAGTTTTCTAGTACAGGGGTTAAGGTCATGCACTCTATTGATGTTTATGTTGCAAGGTTTGCATCTAAGTAACTTGGAAAACATGATAGTCTAAAGCGCTGTTGCAAATCATTTAAAAATCAATGTCTAAAATTAAGTCTTTAAATCTGTGTTTTTGGCAAACGGGTTAAAATCCTCCAGTGGTACTTAGGGGTTCCTTGGATTGCAGTGGAGGTCAGTAGCAGGGTATCTTTGAGGATCTACTGTTAGTACTTACTGCGTACCTTTTATTTAAAGAGTGAGCAAATGCTGTGAGCGCCTAGGATGATACTGAGCCATTGTAAGGGGGTCTTGTGTTGTCTGTAATACCTTAGTCATGTGGGCAAAGCTTAATTTCTAGAAATGAAGGTGTGATAATACCGTTTCATATTAACTGAGGTCTTTTGGACTTGTCAGCCTTGGCAGATGGGGTCAAACCAGACCGGTTGTGCCCATGCAGACTGGTCCTCGGCCGTTTGCCTGTGCAGCGGGCCTTTGTTTGAACTCTGCCTAAAGCGGAAGGTGATTAAAGTGCTCAGCCTTCTCCTCTCAAACTGGTAAAGTGAGATCGCATCTTACTGTATGTTCTTCGTGTCCTGCTTTTATATTAAATCTTGTCTTACAAAGCATGACACCTTTCACGTTTTTATTGTAGCTGTTGCACTTGAAATGATATCTACAAACTATTTGCAGTGACAGATGGACAAAACCTAAGATGTTCTTAAACATAGCTGTGTGACCATACATCATGTCAGCACAGTAATTAGAAACACACACTAATATCAGCTCTATTACTTCTAATATAAATTTTATTCAAATACTAGCTCTAGACATTAAGTTCCAGTTTTTCTAGACAAAAAGCAATATCATAAGAGAAGAAAGGGGTGCATAGGAAAGGATTGCTTCTGCATAGCTCTGAAGTCCTTTGCTTTTTGACCTTCAGTTGCAACCAGTATCTACTATTTCTTTACAAGATCAAATTTTAAATAATGTTGAATGCACCTGTGGCAGTTGAATGCTGTTTATTAATTTAGACTGTATTACTATATTGACTGAATGGAGATTGAGGAGAAAAAGGTTAAGAAAAATTGTGGCCAAGCTAAAATTTATAAAGCAAGCTCTTAGCCCAGAGTGTTTTTCAAGTTATTTTCAAATGGTAATTTGCTTTATCCAAACCAAACTCATACACTGTAAGTAAGTGATTATTTGCATGACTGACAATCATTTCAATGCCTGCAGTCTTTTTAAAATGCATAATTTTGCTGAGATGTTGGGAAAATATTTAAAAATTCTGAAGGCAAAATAACCAGGGTAATTTTTTTCTTTACTTTGACCTCTTTTATTTCGTGTGCGAATGTCTAAGGGTTTGTATGTGTCTTAAGTCCAAATAAAAATTGCATTTAGGAAGGAGGCGTTCTGACCAAAAAAGCATCGTCACTGATAGGATGGTGTTGGTTTTAAGGATTATTTTACATTAATTTTGTCATTTTAGGGCAAAATAAAAATAAATACATCTAACCCTTGATCAAAACAGTATAGTAAAGGAACATATCACTTGAGTAAATCCTGTAATGTGTTTGTCTTTTGATGTAATTACTGTAGATGATTAGCACATAAAATAGCACAATCAGCATAGTAAATGGTCACATAAGAGTGTAGGTGTAATGATGGCTTGATGCATTTTTGGTGCAGCAGAGAACTTAACCTCAGAAATACTTTTGAGTGCTGTTAGTTGTACCATTATACATGTGCATAATATGTGTTCAGATGTTTCAGATGGCCATCTAATCACTACTTTTTTACTTCCCGGAGGAACTTACTGATGCTTTTTTATGAAATACTTCTTTTTAATAAAGATTTGTCGTAAGGGCACATACTGGCGTTCCCAAGGCACACAGCCAGACTGTGGTCCTTATCTAACAATGAGAAGAGATGGAAGGATTTGAGGATTTAGCAGAATAAGAAATGTACTGCCCTAATCCTCCTGGTTGTGGGCTGTGACAATGCCTAGCTTCCTTGTTGCGTTCTGTGCTGCCAGCGCTGCTCCACACGCATGACAAATACTCTCGTTTACTACTTGAAATTCTCCGCTTTATACGTTCTGATGAAGTATGTTATGTAGAAATAAAGATATATCACAATACTTTTAAGCTCACAAACAAATAAAATTCTAAGTTAAGGCTGTCACTTCGTAGTACATAGGTATTGCAAGGGCTGTAGAACAGTAGGTGATTTTACATGCCATATGTGCTACCACACTTCTTAACAACGCTTTGCATTAAGTACGTTGTAATTCAGACTTACCTTACACTGTCATTTCAAATTCTTTGGTGTTGTAATGTAAATGAAATGCTGTATGTAATTTTTTTCTATATAGTCTGTATCCGTGTCATGTATTTTTACTTTTGCGGCCAAAAACCTGGGCCCGAAAACAAAATCCTCTTGCTACTGATGTTGTCCTTGGTACGTGCATCTCCAAATGCCAGTAAGCATCACTGGAAGATCAACACCTCTAGCAGTTCTTTGTTGATATTTTGTACTAATTTTCTCAATCTGCCGGAGACTTTGGCAGTGGCAAAGCTGGGTCAGGCTATACACTCTTTGGAATTTGTTTCAGTGAAAACTATAGAACAGCTTTTGGTTATTATTACTGCTCCTCTCGTTGTAGTGTGTCTTTACTATTATCATGAAGTGGTAGAAAAAGAAAGTTCTTATAAGCAAGAATGAAATAACGTTCCTAGGAGCTTACAATGCACATTGGAGTTAGGTGGAATAGTATAAAAGGCAGCATGAGAAGACTAAGATTACAGTAGAAAATAACAATGGCTTCTTTTAAGTGGAATTTGTTAGTTGATATCTTGTACTATCCGCATTACACATGTTGAAGTAGAATTAAAGATCTTAGAATGTTGTTTCTTAATTTGCTGTTCTGATGTAGTACAGTTAATGGGACATTTTCAACCATTTGATTTTATATTATTTAGTTATGGTTTAAGAGAGGCAGAATTTTCCAGTTTAGAGAATGCTTTATGGCCAGCCAAGGGAGTTCCTGACCAGAGCACAAGTTTTTAGAAGGCATTAGCAGTATCTCTTACACAGAAACCAACTATCAGGAAAGGCCTGTTTTTGGTAATAAAATAAAAATAAATAAATAAATAAAATTGATTTTCCTCACTCTGATCAGACTTGCAGTGCTGAACTTCAAACCTCTTTATAGATAACTAAGAGGTTCCCCCTTCCTCTGTAATCGTAACAACTTGCAATAGCTTTGCAGTGCTGGAAAAACACAGATGTCAATGTTGGGGGCAAAGCTTGTATGCAGGAGAGCCCAAAGCTATAAAGTGGGCCCTGGGGACACGTCTGCTTTGCACAGCACGGGGTGGGGGGGGGAGGGCAGAGCTACCCCCATCGTGAGCCCTAGCCTTGGCTATTGGAAGCCATGTGCTTTAGAAACCATGCTCTTTTCAGCTAGTTAGCCTTCTGGTGAAACAGGATATATTGCCTTAGGTGGAGCACTATCCTAGCTCGGGCATCACTGTAGGCATGTCCTGCCCGCGGGTAGTTTACGGGTAGTTAGTGTAATTAGTGCTAAAAGATTGCTCCTACCTTGGGGCTTGCAGCTGAAGAAACAGGTGGTGGAAACTGCTCCCCCAAATTTCCTTGCTCCTCACCTACTGCAAGCGAATTTGAGGGTTGTGTGCATACCATGCTAAGACAGGTATGCAATGCTCACAGGATCTGGGACACACCACGTATGGAGAGGAAAGTGCAATGTTGGCATAAACCTTGCGTAAAAAGGAGTCTTTCAGTTCTGGCACTTTGGGTCGAGGGTTGGTACTTTCTGTAGCTCAGACCTGAAAGCTAAGGGCAGAGAGCTGCAACTACAGCAAAGGACACGGGGTGTTGAACACGGATGTTTGAGTAACCCTTTCTTGCTTTGCTCTTCGTTCCACATGTGCTTTTGTGGCCTTTGGGGGATTACTTCTGCTCCAGGCTGGTTTTCCAGAGCTGGAATATGCCAATG